TTCTGTGGAATCACTGAGGTTTCTACAGCACAGTTTGATCACCGCTCATGGAAATCAACTTCCTTTTCTTAGAGCTGAGAACGCCAACGCGGAAGGTGAAGGCTTGCTGAAACTCCCAGCAAGTCGGTGGTAGAACAAGGAAGGCCCAGGTCGTCTGGAGCTCCGTCCAGGGCTCTAAAACCAGTACAAGACCTTCCTTAGCCTGAAATGATAAATTTAGACAAAATCAGAGCTATGAGGACACTTTACTAGTCCGAGGTTGTCAGGGGACTGGTGTTGCCGTAGTTACCCTGGTCCAGGAAGTGACCTTTTGCCCCAAAGTCCTGGAACAGAGGCCTGCTTCCTGCTGGGCTCAGGGAGAGGGTCAATGAGGGGATGGCCAGGACTGTGTCCAAGGGCCTCATGCTGCTCGTGGCCTGTAAACTCCATGTTCTGAGGTCATGTCATAAACACGGAGGGGACCCTGGGGCCCTGGGGTGGCGGCCTGTGTCTTCCCTGGGCCTCCCTTTTAAGGGATGACTCCAACTCAGCCCTTTTATGTGGCCTCAGTGGGAGCCATGGCTGGATTCTAAATACATTCAAGTTGCTCAAATCACACCCACGGAGTCCAGGGAGCCATGGCACCTACTGGCTGCCTTGGGTCTGCAATGAGCGGTTCTGATGGTGCACCTATGAGAGTCCAGCCCAGGAAACGCAGAGGAGGAACACCACCAGGCCCTGAAGGAGCTGAGACTTGTGTGTGGGACAAAGGTGCTTTTGGGAAAGCACCCAGGGAAACGGGTGCTTCAGACACAGCAGAAGGAAGGCTGTGATAGGGAGGAGGACAGAGTACAGCACAGAAAGGGGAAGAAGGGACCACTGCCCATGTAGGTGGGTGGGGGGAAGAAGTCAAAATAATTCTCTTAGTCCTTTCAGGCTGCTATAAAAACTGTCATAGAATGGGTGATTAGAAACTACAGAAATGTGTAGCTGGCAGTTCTGGAGGCTGAGAAGTTCCAGGTCAAGGCATCAGTTGATTTGGTGCCTGGTGAGGGCCTGCTGTCTGGTTCACAAACGGCTATCTTCTCGCCATGTCCTCACATGGTGAAAGTGGCAAGGCAGCTCCCTGGAGCCTCTTTTATAAGGTCACTAATCCTATTCATGACAGCTTCACCCTCATGACCTAATCCCTGCTCTAAGGCCTCACCTCCTAATACCAGAGCCTTGGGGGTTTAGGTTTGAGCAGATGAATAGAATCTTGGAGGAACATAAATATTCAGATCGTAGCAATAAGCTTCCTGGAGGAGGCAGTATCTTAGCGGGGGTCTTGAAGGAGTTTTGACAAAGCAGCAAGTATCAAAACACTAAAGGGCCAATGCAGGAGCAGGAGGTATCTGGTATACCCAGAGGTGGGATTGGAGCAGTGTCACGGAGAAGGAGGGGAGAGTTGTGAGAGCTTTAGAAGTTTGAGTCACATCCTGTGGGTCAGTGGTTTTCAAGCTACTGTGCCCTAAGGAGCCCTAGGTTTGGTGAAAAGGCCTCAGGGCAGGAGGTAAGCCCTGGACCACTCTGCTTTATATTCCAGGACTCCACACAGGATCACCTTAGAACTAAGGTCCCAGTGATTAAGAAAGAACCTGGGAAACTGTCATCAGCCATGCGGGAAGCTCTTGTTGGTTAGTCTAAGGCTCTGCCTCCTGGCTATGATCTTTTTTGGGCCACCTGGAGGTGTCAGTGGCCCCAAGAGGCCTCCTCCCCTGATGGGCCATGACAGATGGATGTGACCATCACCTCTGCCCACTTCCCTGCCCAGCAGGGGACTGTGGAGACAACTCCAGCCAGTGGCTTCCTTGGCTTTGAGGCTAGTTGTCTGTGGTCTCATTTGCATTTATGTCACGGAAGAGTCAGCAGGAACCAAATATAGACCTAGGGAAGAAACCAGCCATGTCGAGGAAGGGCTGCAGCACAGAGCAGGCTGCAATCCCTTTGTGGGGAGTCAGACAGGCAGGCATGGGCTGTGGCCAGAATCATCGGTTGCTACAGGATGGGCAAGGCTCAGCCCAAACCCTCCCTCCTCCAGGAAGCCCTCCTGCTGCCTCAGGGAAACGTCTCCCTCTTTCTGTGCCTATGTGCCTCTGTTAGAGCAGGAGTCACTGTGAGGATGACGATAATAGCGATAATAGCGTTCTGCTCCTGGTGAGTGCCTGGTGAGGAGTTTTCTATGCATGACCTGGATCCCCAGGGCACCTTTGTGTGGATTAGAAAAGGATCCTCCTTCCTGTGGGTAGACACAGCTCTGCCCCAGGGTAGACACAGCTCTGTCCCAGGGCCATGGCATTTCTGCAGGTTGCAGCCATCTGTCCAGCCTGAAAAGGAGACAGCTGCTGTGATCTCTGCCCACAGCTGGGAAACTGAGGCCCATGTCACATTAGGGCACCTTCTCCCAAGGCTGCCGAGGCTCTCACTCCCTGATCCAGCTGTGCTGGCTACAAGAATGTCTCCCTTGTTCAGGTAAGTGGCGTGCCAGGCTCTGTGTCTGTCCCGAGAAGATGCTATGGTCTGAGTGTTTTTGTACCCCCAACAACGTGTATGTTGACATCCTCACCAGCAAGGTGAGGGTATGGGAGTGGGGTCTTTGGAACAGACTGGGGCATGGGGCACAGCCCTGCTGATTGGGATTCACGCCCTTATAAAGGAGGCCTGAGGAAAACCCCCGGCACCTTCCATCACATGAGGATGAAGCAAGACAGCCGCATCCAGGAAGCAGAGAGCCAGCCCTCCCAGACACTGGAGCTGCTGACACCTTGATCTGGGACTTTCAGCCTCCAGAACTGTGAGAAATACGTGTCTGCCATTTCTAAGCCACCCCATCCGTGGTATTTTGTTGTAGCAGCCTGAATGGATTGAGACAGGGGACCTCACTTCCAGCGAGTCTCACAGGGCACTTGGCTAGGCCCAGCTAGAGGCTGGCCTTGTTGCTGCAAATCCTGAGCCAGAGGACAGCCTCCGCCACCAAGCACTATGGCCAGCTGAGAGACAAAACACAGAGCAGGGAGCTCACCTAACTGCCCTGTGACTTCAACCCCAGCGTAGGGAAGGAGCCATCTCTCCATTGGGTCATTGATGCCTTCCCAGCAGGAAGGCCATAGCAGCTGCCTCAGATGCACCAAAGTAAACTCAAAAAGGATTTGTGATGTCATCAACCACTCATTTCAGACTCATTCACCTCCTCCAGGATCTTCTCTCTATCATCAGGCGTCCACAGACTCACATGGACGTATTGCCCAAAGCCCACTCACAAAGCATCTAACCCAGCCTTAGCACACCTGGGCCCCCACTCTCCCCTACACCCATGGCAGATGTCGCTAATGGATCACCACCCTTGTTTCCTGTTAAGCCTGGATTGAACCTCAGAATTCTTCTCAACCCAGTGCCACAGCCAGAGCCATCTGAGTTGGAATGTGTACGATGCAACCTATTGTAGCCATCCCCGAGGGGATCAATGCCCAGATTTGAGATGACAAAACTGGGGACCAGCAACAGGAGGAAAATGGTGCCAGTCACAGAGCCCATTGGCAGCAGAGACATGGCAAGAAAGCTGTGTCCCTCTTCTGAAATGGAGGCTGTGGAATCAGGGAAGTTTTGGGGAACTCCTCACAGTTAGTGTTGCAGGCCCTGGGGCAACTCTTGTACATTCCCTCAATGCCTGCCCTGGGGGCCCAGATCCCAGGCTTGAGTGCATCAAAAGGACCCACTCTGCCATCCCCCCGGCAGCTCCAGGGACCAGCAGAGGCGGCAGGGCAGGCCTGACCTTCATACACAGTTCCCTGCACACACTTGGCTAAATGTGACCAGGGTGAGAGCGGGCGCAGTGGGGAAGGATGTGGGAGGAAGGGTCAAGGGCTTCTGGTGACTCATGATGTGGGCTCAGGGACTGTTTGCTGAGCCAACATGTCAGGATCGAAAAGAGGATCACCAGAGGCTGAAGTGTGGGGGCCTCGTGAGAATCGAAGTACACCAGGAGCTCAGAGGTGGGTCCAGCATGTTCTGGGGGTGTCTACAAAGGCTTCCGGCAGCTCAGAGTTCAGCCTGAGCAAACTCTTGCTCATTCATTCACTCATTCATTCAGCCAAGGCCGACTAGTGTCAAGCGTTGTTCTAGCCGCTGGGACACAGCAGTGAACAAAACTGAAAAAACAAGCCTGCGGCCTAGGGGAGGGGAGACAATGAACGACATAAATGAGAAGGCTGGCGTGTGTGATGGTGACGAGTGCTAGGGAAGAGAGAAGGCAGGTGAGGAAGAGGGAGTGTTCCAGGAAGGCTGCAAGTTTAGACAACGTGGCCAGGGTGGGCCTAGTCATACAAAACAATCGCTAAACGTGACGACAGTGATGGAGGAAGCATGTGGACCTTGGAGGAAAAGCCAGCACCTGCCAAGGCCCCGAAGCAGGAACATGGTGTGCTAGGGAGACGGGGGGCGGGGGGGAACAGGGCTGGAGGTCAGGGGTGGTGGGATAGACAGCGGGAGGTCGGAGGTCAGGGATGAGGCCAGATCCTGAAGGGCCTCGAAGCACAGAGTAATGACTTGGGATTTTCCTTAGGGAGGTAATATCGGGTTGAATTATTCCCCCCCAAAAAGCCATGTTCACATCCTAACCCCTGGAATGTGTGAATGTGACCTTATTTGGAAAAGGAATCTGCAGATGAAATTAAATTAAGGATCTCAAGATGAGAGAATCCTGTGTTATCCAGGTGGGCCTTAAATCCAATCACAGGTGTTTCTGGAAGAGACACACAGCGGAGAAGAGAAGGTCATGTGAAGGCTGAGGCAGGGATCGGTGTGGTGCTGCCACCAGCGGGGGAACGCCAGGAACGGGAAGAGGCAAAGAAGGACCCTCCTAGGCAGCGGGGTCCTGCTGACACCTCGACTTCAGACTTCTGGTCTCCAGGGCTGTGAGAGGAGACTTTTCAAGCCACCCAGTTTGTGGTCATTTGCTATGACTGCCCTCGGGAAACTGATCCTGATGCGGAGCCCTTGGAAGCTCTTGAGCGGAGGAGGGACATGCTGTCTGGGCTTACTCCTGGCTGTGTAGGAAAGTCTGAGCCGGGCAGGGACAGAGCGGCCAGGGAGTCACTGCGGTGATGCAGGTGAGTGACGGCTAGAAGAGCGATGGATGGAGGAGGTCAGAAGAGAGGGACAAGTCCGAAAGGGGAAGTCGGAATGGGCGGGGCGGGGCAGGGGAGGTGGATGGCCAGACGGAGAATCCCTTGAGGAAACCCAGAGGTTGTGATGGATTTTGTGATGCAACCTCTGCCTCCCAGGTTCAAGCGATTCTAGTGCCTCACCCTCCCAAAAAGCTGGGATTACAGACATGCGTCACCACACCCGGCTAATTTTTGTAGCCCTCTGGGGGTTGCGGATCTGGGCACGTATGCAAGAGGGGTGCTTGGGAGGACAGTGTGACCAAGGGAGGTGTCCTCCTGGAAACCTTCACCCCAGCCTAGAGGCACAGGATAGGAACCAACTTCCTCCAGGGCCAGCTTTCTGGCCTCAATGCTGGGGCTGTTCTGTCCTTGGACCATCCATGGGACATGATGTTGAACCGTCCCCCTAGGAACCACTAGCTGCTGTCAGATTTTACAGCCTCCCCCATGCAGCCAACCTGGGGTGTTCGCTGCTCAGAAACTCTCAGAAGGATTACACAGGGCCAGGTGCAGTGACTCAGGCCTGTAATCCCAGCACTTTGGGAGGCGGAGGTGGGCAGATTGCTTGAGGCCAGGAATTCAAGTCCGGCCTGACCAACATGATGAAACCACGTCTCCACTAAAAATACAAAAATTAACTGGGCATGGTGGCACATGTCTGCATTTTTGGGAGGCTGAGGCATGAGAGTCACTTGAACACAGGTGGCAGAGGTTGCAGTGAGCCGAGATCACGCCACTGTGCTCCAGCCTGGGTGACAGAGCAAGACCCTGTCTCAAAACCAACACACACAGTGGTCATCCAGAGCTCCAAAGGCACAGAAAGCGTCAGCAACATGTGTGGCCGGCCAGAACGCTGACAATAAACACCTGGCCCTGGTACCACAGGCAACTTCCAAGTCTCGGGGCTCCCAGAATCCGAGTGCTTGTGGCTCTCTGGGGCTGGTGGCCACACCCATATTTGAGACTTTTTGTGGTCTGGTGGTGCACAGCTTCAAGCAAGACTCAATCCCGTTTCCATGAAGCAGGAGAGAGGCCTTGGAGTGTGCAGGGAGTGAGTGCCACGGGATGGCTGTTCTTGCCTGGGAAGATGACAAAAGGGCTCTTTCCTTGGCAGCTCCCATGGAGGAAAGGGCTGGCGGCACCCCAGGAACACAGGCACAGATGGAGGCGTCCCTCTCCAGTGGCTGGGGTGGGCTCTGATTCCGCCTCCTGCATTTGGAGCAGCTGTAAGCTATCAGGGCCTGGCTGGCTGGCTCCAGGCCTCCCAACGTGACCAGCCTGCCCGGCTATCCTGGCGTGAGGCTGGCATTCCTCCCATGGGCTCTGCAGTACTCATCATCAGAGCTCCTGCAGCAGCATGGGGACCTGGGCAGCCTGATGGACAAACGCTGGGCTGGGAAGTAGGGAGATGCGGTTTCCTGGATTCCCTTCCCTTTATTGAGTAGGAATCTTTGCACCTAAACAAGTCTGTGTAGAGTCCAGATTGTGCTCTTTGTCCTTGGTCCAGGAGGTCCATCTCTTTGAGCATCAGTTTAATGCCAAGGAGAGACAATAAATTGCACTTTCCAGGGTCCCAATAAGGATTGCCAAAGTTGGCGTCCTTGGGTGTCTAGCCTAGCTCAGGCGCCCAGGTGTTTGATAAGTTCTCACTGGATCCACACCAGCTTGACTCTGGATTTGTGGAAATTCACAGGGGCCCAGCTGTCCAGCCTGGCCCAGCCACACATCCAGTTCTGCCTGTGAGAGAACCTGTCAGATGGGCCAGGCCAGGCCATGAGGAAGAGGTAGAGTATGCGGACATGACCTGATGAAGTTGACAGAGCAACAACTGAAACAAGAGATCACCAAGGGGAGCGAGGCCGGGTGGCTGCTCCAGGATGAGGGGGTGAGGCAGGACCCACAGGCATCAGGTCCCATTGTCCTTCTACAGAGAAGGACAGCCCTGAGAAGCTATGACCGTCTGTGATAGAAGGTGGCTCCAGCCTCAGCAAAGAGCAAACAGAGGATGCCCCTCACACACCACTGGTCTCTCCTGAGACCCTGGAAGGCTGGGTAGAGGTGGAGCTCACAGCTGACTCAGAAGTGAGGAAGATATGGGGAATGAGGATTAGTCTCAAGTCTGGGGCCACAACTGCACCAAAGAACACACACAGAGCCTGGGGGTGCAAACCACTCAGACAGGAAAACCAGGGCCAAATGCCTCCAGCCTCTACCTCAGCAGCCCCATCTGCCTGCCTGGAGGGCGAGGTGACTCCAGCACGGGCAGCCTGAGAGCTGCTGAGACCTGGGTGGTCTCTGACGTGCTACCCTCCTTCATTCATTCATCTCCAGATGTTAATTGAGCATTAACTCTTCACCAGACTTCTGGACACAGCAATGAACTGAGAGCTGCTGGGACCCATTGGTCCAGGGGGAGCTACTGGGGAATCCAGGACCCCCAGGAGTCTCAGTCATCTCTCTCTTCATGTGAGGCAGGAAACCCTCAACTGCTCCCACCCCAATTCCCCCAAAATCCCGCCCTCCACCCCTTCCAGCTGTGAGGAGTCCCCCTCCCCCAGCTGTGAGGAGTCCCCCTCCCCCGGCTGTGAGGAGTCTCCCT